TTTTGTAGAGAGACCCGTCAGAGATGGCGTGGCTAACCCGGGTGCATTGGTTTTGTGCCTGATCGTGGAAGACCCCTTCAATGTGGAACGATTCTTAGCTAGTGCAAGTGGCTAGTGTCGATATTTTTCACTGCAGTGCCTACACAGACGATCGGGAGAGATTCGGGCGATTGTCAATTGCTGCTATGATGGCTTTGGTTGGTTGTTCTTTTTCACTGTACGGCCGCAGACACATTCTGACAGCACTTCAGACAGCAGCTTTGTGCCCCGCCAGCTGCTTGTTCCATGCCTACCATGGTGTTTTTGTACAGACAGCACTTCAGACAGCAGTATGCTGTAGTCGGCAATCTTCCGTTTTGGTATAGAGTGGGACAGGGAGGGGGTGATGCTACTGTATGTAGTCGAATGGTGGGACGGACGTGCAGTTCAGTTTTTGGGCACGCATACGGTGCTGCAGGGATTTTTAGGTGTACCTCTTCGGGCTCTTGTATACCTTTTTCTCGTCATACGTGTGCGTGCGTGTTCTTTAGATCCTCAGATGGCTCTAGCACTTTCGTGACCACGGGCTGAGAGTCTTTNGCTCTTGTATACCTTTTTCTCGTCATACGTGTGCGTGCGTGTTCTTTAGATCCTCAGATGGCTCTAGCACTTTCGTGACCACGGACTGAGAGTCTTTTGCTAGATTTTGGCATTTAGCAACTTGACATGCGGTTTAATGTGAAGACAACAACAACAACAACATACACCAGTGTGTATGGTCCGTTTGCCCACAAATTCACACAATTTTGCTCTGCACAAAGGTGCACTTTTCTCGGGGTGGGGGTATTTGTTCCGAAATCTGAAAATATCGCGTAAATCGTCGTTTCAAGGTGCATCTTCGTAAATAAACTTTTTTTTTGCGTCCTTCGCTCGATATGTTCAAATATTCAAGAAATCTTGCTTAGTTTCTGGAGGGCGGTGTTTTTTGCAGACACAAAATCTGAGACCGCATTTGGACAGCTCTCGTGATTTGCTACCGACGATTTTTTTCCGATTTCCAATTTGATTGACAACAATAACGAAGTTATGGGCAAAAAAAATGATTTTGGAGGATATTTTGCTTAGTTTCTTGGGGACAATTCTACCATACGATTGAAAAAAAACTGCGGCGGCAATCGATTCCTCTCGTGATTTGCCACAGACTTTTTTTTTCCGATTTTCAAAAAATACTCGGGTTTCGGAGATACTTCGGGTGGTTTCACACGCCCCCGGGGAATTTTTTCCGGCCACACACTACACACACCAGAGACACACACCCACACACACCCTTTACGCACGCTACGAAAGGCGCACACACACGCGCTCCGGGCACATGAGTCGCCCAAGAAAGGGAAAGCGCAAGCGGGCAAGGAACGCCGACGGCACGATTCTGTTGGTTTCTCGCGTTTAGGCGCGGTAGAGGCGTTCGTCATGATGACGAACTCAACGCTTTGGCTGTCTCTCTTGGTGTCGGACTTGGTTAGAGAGAACGGATGTGCTGATTGCCGCATGCTTTGGATTACAGCAGCTTCACCAGGCAAAGGTTGGGTAGAGAGTTACGGCGGTATTGTATGTAACGTGCAAATAATAATGTAGATAGATATGGATTGACAACGGTTTAACTGATGTTGTGAAGGCAAATACGTGCAACAGGGAGGGGTTTGGGGAGGTTCGTGGTGTACTTTGGGTGCTCCGTGGGGTCATGAGGGGGGATGGGGGTTCCATGGGTCATTTTGGTCCAAAATGTCGCATTTCACCCAATCACCAAAAACTCATCGGATATGGACGAAGCTCGACGCCGTGGTCACGGCCAAAGTTGTTTCACTTTCCAAATCTTTTTTTTTCGAAAGTTATCGCGAAAAACAAGATTGTGTTTATTTGCCCGAACGGACCATAGTAGGTAATTAACTAGGGAGTATTTCCGGACTAACGACTTGAAAGATCAGGTACCTACGGGTTCTACACGGAATCATTGAGAATGGTACATCGAAACGAACTTTTTCTACGGGATACTCATTCTTGAAATGTCACTACAGGTCAGAATACCCGCCTGTTACCGTGATCTGTGATCGGTACGGTCCGGTAGCCCGTGCGTGTGTGCTTTGTCGAGGAAAACTGTTACAACGTAGTCAGGCACAGTTTACCATAGGTGCGACTGCGGCAACTAGCCTTCCGTAGACATAATACAGAAAGAAGAGATGGTACTCAGCAGAGAACATGAGCACAGAGTTGTAGCGGAGATAATTTGGCAGGCGAGACTGTAGTTGTTTTATTGTTCCGAACCCCGAAATTCCGGTACTCGGGCCATTACTCCGGAGACCCTCGGAACCTGCTGTGTTTTTGCTGCTTGTTTCTTGTTTTTGTTTTGTTGTTGAGATGAGACACAAGCGCGCCTTCGCCCCTTGTGCTCACTCTCATCTAGCACCCATCAAAGCCTGACCAGGGAGTCAGTTGATAAGA